ACTACACATGTAAACGCCGACCCAAGGCTTGATTTTTATCTATCGTTTATGTTTATTTGCTTCTATCAGTAATTCATAATAGCATAACTCGTCAGTTTTCAAAATTCCATTTGACAACACCACAGTTCTTTATTTACAAATTAAGGATTTCTTTAGTTAGTTAAAGGATTTCTTGCTTTGCTTAGATTTTTTTTTATGTTGAATTTTATCCAATGAGTTTTACCTTACATGTTTTCTTTTTAAATCTTTTTACCAAAGTAAGGAAAAAAATATGTGCGATGGGACGTATAGGTGCATGATTTGTAGAATTTACAATAAACATAATAAAACATAACCTTACATATGTTAGTATTTTGGATCATGTAGATAATATCGCCGTTCTGGAACAACAACGACGTAACTGTTAAATGGTTTATTTTACAGCAGGGGTAAAAAACTAAATATTGAAATTAACAATAACCATAATAATAACCTATGATAAAATAATGTAGTAGATTTGCATAATGTGTATTTGAATAATGTGGTTGATGTTATGTATGAAATGGCGTTTGCAGGTTTAGGAGCAGAAAATAAACAGATTTTTGTTTAACAAATTGCCGACGTTTCGACGTGTATTTTCATCATTATCAAGGCTATTTTCAGGAAAATAGCCTCGATAAAGACGAAAATTAAAGGTTGTTTATTTCCCGGTCCTAAACCGTCTGCGAACGCCATTTCATCTAAAATAAAATGCAATCATTAACGAAACTTGACTAGTTTCTTAATAATTGAACTTTGTTTTACGATATTATGGCCATTATTCATTTTAAAATTTAGTCTTTTCTCTCTCCTGTAAAATGTAACTGTTACGTCGTTATCCTTGCGAACAACGATATATATAAAGACACATTTGATATAAATACCTAGTGTTAATTTTTGTAGATATTAAATTTTATGATATCAGGTTACTTAACTTCTTTTTATACAGGGTTGTTCACCACATACGACATGGAGTATTGTAACTAAACGATTAGATTTTTACAAATTTTAAATTTTAGGTTCGTTGAAGGGTTATTAGAGATACAATTTAAAAATATTTTTACAAGATACAGAGTGTCCCAAATAAGTAAAAAATATAGTTTTATTTAGTTTAATTCTTCATTTCTCCAACGGTATCGAAGTTTTTAATACTAAATATTTAGTGAAGTTTATTTATTGATCAGACATTGGTGTTGTAATAATAAAGAAAATACTATCTTATACAGAGTGTTTAAAAAATTATTTTAAATAATTACTAGCTTTAAACGGCAATAATTTGTTTATTTTAAATGGAACACCTTGTATATTTTAAGAGAATAAGATATATTGTATTGATTGTTGAGAATAAATTGTATTATACCATTTTTTACCTATCTCTTCAAGTTTTTGTAGAAAATGCATTTTCTTATAATTTAGACCTCATTTATCACTATACCCATGGAATATTGACATTTTAGATTTCTTTTAATAATGTAACAAATTTTCAAAGAGTACAGATATGAATATTGTCGATATAGTTCGCTTATTTTATTAAAAGATAAAAAGCAGTTTAAATATTTTTTGTTAATGAGAACTAATTAATATGATCCCAGTATTCAAACTACATTAATTGACTGTTTACGTTTATTAATAATAATTGCTCCAAATACTAAAAGACTGAATTTTGTATGTGTATTAGGCAGTGTGGTAAAAGGTAACACCTTATTAATTTTATTTCATTTTTTGACGAATGCATATTTATAACAACAGAGACGTTCATTTTCATAACTTATTATGGTATCGATTTCTGAGTCAAATCCACATTTATTTAGAAGAATTTATTAATTAAAACAATTAAGTATGTAATTAAATAATTTATGGGCGGAAATAATTTCGGAGATAAGCAAACACATTGCTGTAAAAGAAAATGTATTTATTAAACCCCAGACAATTCACAAAATTAAGTACTTGTTAATAATTAAAAAATGGATAAAATTTGCCCTACCTTCTTCACCCCATCCAATAATTCTTGGTGTTAAAATGGAATATTTAAGTAACATAAAATTATGGCTTTTTCATTTTTACACTTGATAACGGTCATTGATACTTCTGATATAATCTGATATATAATAATAATATTAATCTTCTTTTTATATTTACAGTCTTTAATAACTGTTCGTGTTGAAATTCTTCTCTTACATTTATAGTCTTCAATAACTGGTCTGGCATATTTGGAAGATGTACAGAAAATAAAGCATTTACAGCCTACTTGTGTTATTCATATTTACAAATTATATTTAGCACGTATTAAAGTCAATATGACATTAATAAAAATAATTTCTATTAAAATTATTTTTGGCACAGAAAAGTCAATTTGACATTAAATAACTGAATTTGAGGGTGACATGTTTGTTATTCTAATCAGAACCGTATTATTTTTTTAATTAATTTATTATTTTTGGTATCTCTTATTACTCAAGAACGAATTCGTATAAATTCAAATTGAACAATTAGCTTCATGTTAAGAAGCTCCTTAAAAAGTTTCAAATACATTTTTCTGTAAAATAAAATGGGAAGAACTATTCATCATTTTTAAAATTCATAGGGGATTTCCTATGTCCAGGTTGGAGATGCAACAAACTGTATATTCCACAAGATTAATATTTGAACACGCGTTTATAATATGTATAGTAGATATTAAAGAACAAAAGTTTTCACTTAATCTGCATGAATATAATTACAATATTTTTATTATTTAATTTTATTATAATCCTTGTTTATGTATTAACTAGTTATTCAGCGTGAGTTAGTTCTGGAAGTTCACTAATAGATGGCTACGAAAATTGCATCGCGGTTCTTTGAAGAAGAAGAAGAATTAAGTGGGACAATCGCAAGAACGGTAAACTTATTAGGTTAATAATTATTATTAGTTTACCGTTCTTGCGATTGTTCCACTTAATTAGAAATTCAAATTTTTGAAAACCATTCGTAGCCATCAGTGAACTCCCAAAACTCACTCACGGTGAATAACTAGTTAATGTATAAACAAAGTTATAATGAATTAGAATATAAAATTGTACCGTATGATCGCAAAAAACGGCGTCAGCGATGGCTACGAAATGAAAATCGCTGTCATTTTATATGGGAAATGTCATCGATTATCATTTCCCAGCCAACTGGATCATACGGTATATGGTATGATTGTTTACGGCCTAAATTTATTAATTAATATAACTGTAGTATTACTTAGATCAGCAATCTTAATAATTATAAGGTGTTACTTTTAAATATTTTTATATTATTTGCAACGTTTAAAATTGTTTAAAAAATATTTGTGACGTATGAAAAAAAATGGCATGTTCTTTACGGAGTAAAAATTACTTTTTGTGCCTCACCTGTAATGTCAAACGTACAGCCTCGCCACGAAAAGTATCATTTCTACTTCTAATAAATTAATATACTAATATTGAGAATGGAGTAAATTAAAATCTAAATAAACAAAGGGTTAGTTTACATATTCCTTGTATATTGGGTGTTTCAAAATATTTTTTTTTAATTTTAGCCGACCATACCAACAGGTATGGTGTCCGTCTGTCCGTCTATCCGTCTATCCGTCTGTCCGTCTGCGTCTGTCCGTCTGTAACACGATAACTCAAAAACCGCTAAACCGATTTTAACCAAAAATACTGTGGCACCCGAGAATCTGGCCATTAGTTTTTGGTGGGGGTGGGGGGTTGGTAAAGGGATATAGGAGAGAGTTAAAAATTTTAAAAATCGTAACTCCAAAATTACAGTAGCTAGCGAAACGCGGTTTTCAATTTAAGATTAGGAATAATATTTGCAACAAAATTTGTAATAACAGCAAAATCAGTCAAAGTCGCAATTTTTGAGATATTCCGTGTTTCCATAGTCCGTTTTTGAGAAAATCCGTGTGGAGTATTCCAAACTCCCATCGGACGCGACCCCAGGTGGCGGATAGGGGAAATAACCGCGGATCAAAATTGGAAATATTCCTTTACTTTGAAACTAAAAGAACTGCCTACCAACTTTTTATTAACATATTTTAGTATGGGCGGCTATACGTGCCTCCCGGCGCCATTTTTTTATTATGGTGTATTCTTCTCTTACATTTATAGTCTTCAATAACTGGTCTGGCATATTTGGAAGATGTACAGAAAATAAAGCATTTACAGCCTACTTGTGTTATTCATATTTACAAATTATATTTAGCACGTATTAAAGTCAATATGACATTAATAAAAATAATTTCTATTAAAATTATTTTTGGCACAGAATGGTTTGTTTCCGCATTCCGCAACATCCTCGCGATAAGATTTATACGAAATTTCACGCTCTACAAAAAACGTCTGAAGGTCAAAGTTCTTGAGATCAACCGTTTTAAAGATATCAGCGATCAAAAATAACACCATCGAAGATTTAAAATATTTTCCAATAAAACTACAAAAAAATATCATACTCGGTATTTATATAATTTTTTCTGTAAAATCGCTTCAATTTTGTTAACCTGTAATTAAACTGTAATTTATTTAGAGAATATTTGAAATTTTCGAATGGTGTTATTTTTGATCGCTGATATCTTTGAGAGACGGTTGATCTGAAGAACTTTGACCTTGACACGTTTTTTGTAGAGCGTGAAATTTCATATAAATTTTCTCGCTAGGATGTTGCGGAAACAAGCAATTCCAAAATTATTAAAATTTAAAAATAAAAAATAAAAATTTCCGTGTTATTTAAATGGATATACAACAAATAAATTGAGGCAAACCTTAATATTAATATTAAGAGCGTCAAAATTTTGGTTTTTAAATGTACTTTCAACTTTTCAACACCATAATAAATTATAAAAAAAATATTTTGAAACACCCTATTGTATATGTTAGGTCAAAATAAATAATTGTATATGGTTTTATTTTAAACATATATATTGTGTGATGGTTAACAGTGTTAACATGGTAACTTATAGTACATGTTTTATATTTCAGGTGGAGAAGTATGTTTATGGAGCGAACAAGTAGACGAATCTTCACTAGACAGTCGCTTGTGGCCCAGAGCTGCAGCATTTGCCGAACGGATCTGGACGGATCCACAACTGGACATGACCACATACACCATTCAAGAGGATGTATATACAAGACTGAACACTCAAAGAGAAAGATTAGTGAGTAGGGGACTTAAGGCAGAGGCATTGTGGCCTTCGTGGTGTAGTCAGAATCCCGGAATGTGCCTATAATATTTAATGGATTGGACAAGATAGTGCAGAAAACATATCAAATATATGATTAGCAGAATGTGGAATTGAAATTTGACAACAAAAATTTTTAGGTCTTTAATTATAATAGGCCTTTTGATAAAATTTTATATATCGATAACCTATAAAATATCGTATGGCTGCTGAATATGTATAGTTTATATCAAATAAACTTTTAGTCACGTGATTAAACTTGACCGGCACAGCGTTGCCCACTTTTACATATTTTCTTTTAATCGACATAGTTTAGAAAACAAAAATAAATTAATTATAATTATATAAACAGTTATTATTTACATCAACAAAACCCACCTCCTTAACAGCACTTAAGAGGTATAAAGGAGCATTACTACCGCTTTCCCGTTCAAAATATTCTAATAAAGTTATCTTGTACACTTCGCACTAAAAGAGATTCTAAAGAGAACAATGTTCGACTGCAAGGTCTGCTAGTAAAAATTCTTAAGCTTAAAGTATCACAACAAAATTCATTTAAACCAAAAACTCGTAATACAAAACTAAAGTATCAAAAACGAATGGCAATGTCAGGAAATAAATAAATAAATGTGGCAACTTAACATTTTTTACATCAAAGCTACCACCTGAATCCCCGGCGGGAAATTTAAATTTCAGTTAGTCAGCCCGGTGCTGAATATGTCCATGGTTGGCAATAATGAATTTAAAAATCTCGCTCTCGATTACGTAACTAAAAGTTTAATTGGTATCGAATATATATTATGTTTTTTGTACTATCCTTTATCATTAGTGAGTATTAGTTACTTCACAAATAGACCTCTTGAAATTGCACTTGTTCGTTCAGTAGTGAATAGTGTTTCTTATACGCACTTGTGATTTAAAACTGAAATTTCTCAGACCCCGAAGTTGATAGTGCGATTGTCGTGATCGATGTCAAATCATAGTCAAATTTAACCATGGACCAAAATATCGTGTCAGTGCCTATGTAGCTAAATATTTATTAATTATTGTTAACTAGTAAAATCTACTGATTTTCTTGATTGTATACGGCGTTATTGAATAGAAAATATTTCGAATTGATCTGTTGTAAAAAATGGGATTTCTTAATGTTCCGAATATACTTTAATATCAACTGTCAGTATTTTAGAACGTGAAACTATTTATTTAGTAAAATATACATTTTTTGTGATGTGTATACTTAAAAGTTTGTATTTTATGCAGTGTGCATAAATTATATACGGCTGTTGTGAGATATATGTAAAATTATTAACGTGAGAAGTATTTTCGATTGTTTAAACTGTTATCTTTAAATGAATAAATGTTTTAAAAAGACACAATTGTATTTTTTGTTGTTTGCTGTTTTACTCGTGCCATATGATCGAAAAAAAAATCGCGTCAAAAACGGCTTGGGAATGACAGTTTGAAGTCAACCCTAGACGTCATTACTTGGTCCGTACTCTTCCTTATTTTTTATGGCGCTTACTGCCAGTGAGCCTTAAGAAGGTTGTAATTTATTGTTATTTTGAGTAAAAATGATTTTTAAATGGTGTAATTTAAAATTCGCGAAAAAATAACGTTTCGGAAATAGATGTGTTTATCTGGAAACATTCAATCCTTTTTTAAAGATTTATATAAATTTTTAGTAAATGACATCTAGAGATTGAATTGGCCAAAATTATCATTGATTGTCATTACCCAGCCGTCTTTGACGACGTTTTTATTCGGTCATAGGGTATTATGTCATATTGTATAAGAATTAATATTCTAAGGTGCAAAAAGAGTGACTTTTATGCCTCTGAAGAATTTGTGTCTGTCAGATACCAATCCTAGTCGTATTTAACAATAAATATTCTTTGTCTACTTGCCCATTTTTAGTTTTTGTTGCGAATAATGCACTATAATCAATTCCATAGATGAAATAGGCTCATTTCTTAAAAAATAGAGATTGTTATTTTACTTTTTATTTTCATTTTAAATTAAGACTCAGATGCAAAACGTTGAGAGTGTCCCATTTTCGTGTGTTTTATGGGACTTCTTATTTTATGAACAGATATACAAAGATATTCGGTTTTCATATATCGGTTTTCATATATCACTGTACTACCGTTGATTGAAGAAATAAAAAGATGCGCAACCTTATGGGCGATTTCGTGGCACAGAACCTGTTCGAGATACCGTCAGCCTGTCCGAGATTTAGTTTTAGCCCTGCGCCACTACGCGCTGATAGTCGTTTACAGCGCAGCAGATAAAGAATACTGTATCGTAGTTGTGCTTTTAGTCGACAGAGTGAGTGGTTGCCGGAGACAGTGTTGCCAGAACTACTGATTAATCCCTAGATTTTTTTTGGTACGGTATGTTAATAATACGGATTTTTATATCATTAAACAATTTAATATAATATTATATGATTAAAGAAAGAACGGCGTCAGAGTTGGCTTGGAAATGAAGATCTCTGTTATTTCATATGTAAAATGTTTTGGTAAATGTCAATAATTCGCGTCATTTCAAAGCCAACTGAACGACTTTTTTCGATCATACGACATATTCAGTACCTGTAAAAGAATTTTTATTTTTGTTGTTTATTCTATGTTTGACACGAAAAAAATTTTAATACATAAGCGCCGATTTTTCAGCCAAAAATATTTTCGTCAAACGTATTACAGATATTAAACATTTTAATATGGCACACATATATAGATATTTAACACTGTGGCTTTCAGTTCCACACCATCTTTGATATGCCTTCGCTGGCCGAATTAGAGAAAATAAGTGTTTTATGCGTTGACCGCAGAATGATTGGTTTCTTCACCGTACAGCACTTGAGACGTAATGGGAAATCAAATCAGTCTTTACCTTTTCCATAAGATACAGGATAACCGAGATACGAGGGAAGTCGAAAAATGCAAAATTTTCAAATTCGCCCTGTTTCAGAAACTAAGAGGACTAAGACTAGGACAAATCTGTCTATCATCTTTAGTTTCATGAAAAAATAGCACACTGATGTAAAAAAACACTTCTTTATATCTCTACTCGTAAACTAGAAAACACAAAAATGGGATACCCTGTACGTTATTACATAAAATTATTAATTTATGATAAATTTTTGATTCACAATATTTTTCAGATGTGTATCTAGTAATTAATTGTTCAACATTTGATCGAATTAGAAGATCAATAGTCAACATCAAATAAGTTATAATCGTACATAACTATAATTGAGATATGCTCCTGACATAATCATTACATATTTCTTTATTTTGATAATTATTGTTTTATTTAGGATTATACGATTTCATGTTTGGATAATGATTATAATATTCAAATTAGTTAGCTTTTCATATTTTTACACTTTTAAGTAGTCTATAGTGTTAAATTGAAGGAATAAAGGTATAAAAAATGATATATACAAAGCCAAAATAATTTTGGCTTTGTATATATCATTAATATTTATATCTTCAAATTTCTAGTATTTCTCCTCTTCAAATGCACTTTAATCATTTTCAAGATGGCGATAATTGCCAACCCTTCAAGCACTTCCCGAGCCAAAGCAGAGAGTAGTAAAAATTCAAATCGCTTAACATCGTTTTTATGATTTCGCCAAGCGCAAACCCTATCTCAAATTATTCGTGAAAATCGAATGGTTTCGGCTTTATTTTATGAAAGGGAGAACAAAAGCAAAAAAGAAGACGTTTCTGAATCTGCTATTTAAATTTATCCTAGATTTATTTACATGTTTTATGGCTATTTTCCAACATTTATATTTGAACACAAAAAATTTTGAAAAAATTTTCAAAAAATAATTTTTATTTTTTCAAATGAATATGTGCCAATGCCGTACCGTTTAAAAAAATTTCCCAAGCTCATAATTTCATCGAAAATTTAACGAGAAATTAAAAAAATATAGTTTTATATTTTTACGGTTATCCTAACATGGTTAAAAATTAAAATTAAGAATAAAACCTCGTTTTTTAGGTTCTTGCGGACGTGTCTAAAACGGCTGGAGAATGACAGTCGATGATAATTTTGGCGAGGTCATGCCCTAGACCTAATCTACTTGTCCTGTACTTTATTTTGTAATGACACTTATTGACAATTGGTCATAAGAAGGTTGTAATTTATTTTTATATTGAGTAAAACTAAATTTTATTAATCATTATTTTAAATGGTGTAGTTTAAAATTCGAAAAAAAATAGTTTTTTGGAAATTAATTTGTGTCTCTGGAAACGTTCTATCCTTTTTTCATCTTTCTATAATTAGTGTTAATTTTTGACAAGTTTTATTTAAATTTTTAGAAAATGACGTCTAGAGATTGACCTTGCCAAGATTATGATCGATTATTATTCCTCAACTGTCTATGACGCCGGTTTTTTTCGGTCTTACTGTGTAATGTTTGTTAAATATATTTTAAGTGACAAAGGATAATAAATTTGATATTTTGCATACATATTGATTATCCTTTAAGATAAATATAGACATGAAATTAAGGTTTTCATTTAAATTAATCATTAAAATCAAAAAGAGTTCAATTTACAATGCTAAAGAAGCTACAAACTCCCACTGTAAGTTCGTTTAGATTTTTGTAGCGAAATTTTAAATTGTCAGATACACATTTTTTTTGGTACGAGTGTATTAAATTCTAAAGCCGAGAACATAACTTTATTTCGAAAAGACGTAATTACTCTAAAATAAACTTAATTAAAAGGATGTTAATTCTGGTACAGTAAATTTATTTTGTTACGATTTTAAAATAAATAGAAAATCAACATGAGAAGAGAATTATTTAATTACAAAAGTAACTTTATTTGTTAATCAGTACATCTTTTTTTAAAAAAAAATCATCCTTAATTAAAATTAAACTGCCTTAAGTATTTAACAAAATTGTGTCTGCACTATGTGCGCATATTTGAAGGGAACAGCTATTAAATTGAAGGATTTGAAGGACATGTTTGAAAAAGTGTAGTTTGCAATGTTGCCAAAGTAATAGATTAAAAATTAATAAATAATTTGAATCAATTATAATATTTGTATTAAAATATCAATATTTTTAACAAACAAGTGGACTTCTCAAAAATATTCGTTGCGTCACTACGTATTTCTAAGCCGTAGGCTGTGTCTCGCTAGCTCGTGTGTCACGGCCTTGAATCTTTACTCCCAGCACGCGTCATTACCACTTTTCGTCTCGCTAGCTTTTGTGTCACGACCTTGCATTTTTACTCCCAGCGCGTAAATAAGTTCCACTCAAAAATTATTGCAAAAATAAATAAAA